ATGCAATAAGCTAGCATGTCCACTTTGGAAAGGCCCCCCACATCCCATGCATGCTGGGACACGAGCCCTCATGCAAGGACAATAAACAAGCAACGAGGAAGATCCCTGGGTTTGGTTGCGGGACGTTGGTGGTCTCCATGAGCCACGCTTCTCCTTTGGACAGAAGGTAAAAGAACAGCAACACAGAGCAGTAGGTCAAGTCTCCTCACAGTCACAGAAATGTAGCCGTGATTGCTTTAAAAACACAGAGTCCGTTTACATTCTTTTCGATGAGGTACTATGAGAACATGGGGACGAGTCCGGTAGAAAGTATGAATTAGGAAAATGTGCAAAGATGCATAAACAGCTCCATCATACACCAGAAAAACCCGCAGCTACCCGATACATTGTCCACAGAGAAGAGCCGCCCTCTGGGGGCGGGGGGGGGGGGGCACGCTCCTCCGTGGTCACGACCTATGGATTATAAAAATATTGCTTCCGTGGTTTTTCAAAACCCTGGGCAGGGTGGCCATCTCACCTGACTAGAATTCTGTCTTTTTTTAATTCCAATATATAAAAGTAAAGGAAGGGGACTGAATAAGGATCACCTCAATCAAATACCATAATGTGGGAGGTGGAAGACGGGGTAGCATCTTGGCATTTGGCTACAGAAGCTTCTGAGCATAAAGTGGCTTTTGGCTAGGCACTCTCAGGACCTCAAGGGCTCCTCAAATCATCGGTGTGACTAAAATCAAATATTACAATTCTATGACAGTGTGGAGGTGTGTCTCCAAGGGTTTGAATATGGCTTGAATTTATCCACAAGTTCTCCCAAAAGACTGAAAGCTCTCCCCATCTTTTTCATCTCTATGACACAGTGTGTAATGGAAAGACTATTTGAGGCAAGGATCATAAATAATTGAGAAGATGTGGAAAGGGGAAAAATTAAGGACTAGCTAACACCTGACCACTAAGTTCAGCCCCTCCCATTTCCAACATGTTTTCCACATGCTTCAAAAAGGAAATAAAACAGAACAACCCATTTCTGGGAACAGACCACTTTCACTCAAAGGACTCACTGCACTGAACAAACAGAATACAGAAAGAGGGAAAGGAAGTGCAGATCAACCCCAGTCACCCCACCACCACCACCACAGCTGGTCTCTGCAGGAGGGAACAGCCTGGACACTGTGCTCAGAGATGGCCCCTCAGTGGCAAAAGCAGTTTGCTCTCAACTCTAAGTGAAAGGTTGGCCGTTCTAGTCCAACTAGAAGTTCCTGGCAATTCGCTTCTGGAAAGATCACGGCGGAGAAAAATCCTACGGGGCTGCTCCATTCTGCCACTAGAGGCCGCCGTGATGAAGTCCACTCAGTGGCCCTGGCTTGGGTTTTGGTTTTGGTTTGCTTTTCAAGGAAGAACCTCACGTCAGAGAGGACCATGGCCCACATGAGCCGCACGTCCCCTCAGCCAGGCTCAGTGCTATGGACCGTACACACAGCCAGTCCCAGTCACCCATGCGGGTGCCCGTGGGCCCTGCTCCAGGGGCCACCACACAGTAGGATGGAGCGGGAGAGGCTGGGCTGAAACCTCAAGCTCAAGTCTAGCCTCAACAGTGACCAGTCATGGCCTGGGCCCACGAGAAGCTCTGTCAAATGAAAGGGGGGAGGGAGTGGGGGTTAGGCATAAAATCTTTGCCAACTCTAAAGTGCTATCAAAGATAAGGCATCAGTTTCACATTGAAGCCTGACTCCAAGCACACTCTCTCTGACCGCCTGGAGTCTCTTGGTTGCATGCTTTTTAGGGGTTTTCTAGACCCTTGGTCCTGGGATCTGAGGTGTTGGGGCAGAAGGTAGAATTCTCAAAAGTCACTGAGGCCGCTTAAACATGGGCCCACCTCCTCCAATCTGGCATGTGCTGCTACGTATCAAAGAGTAAGGTCTGCAGATTGATGATAGAGACGAGCTTCCTACCCAGACCCTCATCTAAGAGTCCCCTTAGTTCTGACATCTAAGAAGTGGCCCACAGGCTTAAATAGAGCTGCTCTCCTTCTCTTCTGAGCAGTCAAGGTTTTGACTCTCGTCACAGTCCCTAAGACCTATGACTATCAGAGCCAGTACAGGTGTCTCACCTCGGACTCTATGATACTACACCAGACCTACATCAGGAAAGGCCCAGTCCCTGGGAATAAGCTGTAAGTAACCCCAGAGTCCTCAGAATAAGAATGATTTATGCTCAAGAGAACTACTGCGGCTCTTTAAACCAAATGTCTTAACAAAATGTCACCACTCTTCCAGAAACCCTAGTCGTCACCACCAAGGAGGCTGGGAACTCCCAAGTGCAATGGCTACTTCCTAACACAGCAAAGCGCTTACAGGGGAAACACAGTGAGTGGGAGACACAGAAGCAGGCGGACCAGTTTGACTTGGTTCTGGGGAGGCTCTGCAAAGCCACTCTTCTGACTCCAACACTCCGAGGTCAGTTTCTTGAAATGACTTGAAAGGAGAGTAAGTGAGAGGTCTGGTTAAGTCATCTCATGGACCCACTGTGGCTTGATATATTTGAGTGACCTACCCTGCAGGTCAGTTACACATGTGTTCAGGAGAAGCCACAGGTGACGCATTCACGTGTATTCCTCAGAGCTTTGGAGGGCTCTCAAGTTTTGGAGGAACTCTCTCCGGGTCAGGAGCCTTGGGGTCCCAATGGGTCAAGGGGTGCAGCTATTTAAGTTTGGCAGTTAGAATCCACCAGCCATTGTACAGGACACAAAGGTAGCAATCTATTTCTATAAAGATTCACAGCCTTGGACCCACCAAGGGACAGGTCTCCTCTGCTCTGAAGGGTCACTGTGAGGTGGTCAGACCTCCAGAGCAGGGAGTTTGTTATTTTACGTCATGGTACTGCAAACAAAAGTGAAAGAGTCCCTCTGTCATCTTAGTCTTTGCTCCACTGTTATTTTTCTTCTCTTAAACCCTTTTTACACACTTACGAACCCTTAGCCAACTTTATTAGAGCCGTAAGACATGATGGTAATTTCTAGAAAAGATTAACACATTGGCCTATCACACCGGAAGTGACTTTTACCTGTGCCAACTGTAAACTGCTGTTGAATTAGAGTCGGTATGGCCCGTGGCCTCACCCAGCCCCTTCTGCCAGCATGGACACCTGTGTGGTGTCGGGCCAAGCCTACGAGCTTGACCTATTAGTACCAGAGTGGCTCTGTCACTACCCTGTGCTTCCTATCTTGTCTCTACCTTAATGGGGAGGCTGCTCTTTGTTTACAGACTATTACACTTTCTTAGTACAACTGGGGGAAATATTCAACTAACATTTCCATTTAGCTTGCAGATCAAACTCAGGTGGTTCTTTCCATCTGAATGTCAAGCCACAGTCTGACTATAAACAGAATGTGTTATGTCGACAGTTTGCTAAGGGTAGGGTCCAAGTGGGGTTTTGGTGGGTTGTGGTTACTCTCATGGTGAGAAATATTCATGATTAGCAAGTGAAGACGTTTGCAATTTTTTTTTTCTCTCTCTCTTGCTCACAAAATAAGCTCTTCTTCAACAGTGGACTGTCAAGTTTCTACAGGCTGTTCATCAAAAGATAATGTTAAATTGTGTTTCATTTGGTTTAGAGTTTGTGAGCAGAAGTGGCATGAAAATTAAAAGAAAGTTAATGTAATAGGAGAGAAAATGGATGATGGAAGTGCTTATCTGGTGAAAAGGGTCACTTAAATAATTCTAAGAGCCCTGGGCTGTTAGAGACAGAGAGCAAGGGGGGTGGGGGGAGAGAGAGAGAGAGAAGAAAATCAAAGATCATTAATTCATGCCTCCCCTACGTTGATCCTTTAAGATTTCCTGAGCATTCCTCTACCTTATAGTGCAAACGTAACTCCAATGAATTAATTCTATCCCTAGGTTTCTCAAGCAAAAAAGTATATACTTGAAGAATATATACTGAGCAAAACATAATAGAATATCATCTCTGAAAACACTAGCAATCTGAACTTCTATAAATATACTTAAATAACAAACATAGAAATTCATCTATTCACACAGGACACAAAGGGGAACTGTACAAAAATAAAATGACCAGGTTTTAGCTCTTCTGCTGGTTTGTTGTTTTTTGTGGGGTTTTGTTTTGTTTTGTTTTTGAAGTGAAGGTATCAAGCCACTTAAGTCACTGGAGTTGTCTGTTTCAAATGAGCTCTGGGAAGTCTGGGTGTCTTCACTCAGTGTCCAGGCACCATAGCTGAGGACAAAAGCCGTGAAGACCTCCTGCTGGATTGGGCTTCCCTCACACAGTCGCCAAGGGGCAGGGATGGGGTGGTGGATGTCTCCAGGTGTGAAGTGGTGCTTTTCTCTCCCTCTTTAATGGGAAAGAGACATGTGTGGATCTCCCCACCTGGGTCAAGTGCAAAAGTATCGAGCTGTCCTTTGAGTCTAACATAAAACATGCCTCCCGCTTGCCCTCTCCCACTCTCTTCACTCTGAAGTGTTTGCCAGCAGATGTAAAAGGCACCGCTCTCTCCAGTAACACGCAACTGAGGGTTTCTTCCACAATACCGTCTTTGTCCTGCTCCAGGGGCTGCCGTGGTGAACACTCCTCCACACGAAAGAGAGAGAAAGAAACTGAAGAACACAGCGCCAGCCAGGTACACTGTGTACGGTCTTCTTTTGGAACCTAGAAGATTGCTGTGCAGAACTACCAAGTCTGATCTTTTCTCCATAAAATCTTAGAGCCATCTTGAGAGCAAGGAATAGAAAATGCCTTTCTCCCATTCCAGGAGCCCTAAGCTCCCAGCGGGAAGACAAAAATACTTTGTCCAATCACAGGCAATCAATCATTCCTGTCGACTCAATTCCATGGATACCTTGCAACCAGAAAAAGAAATCCTGGCATATTTGGTGAGGACCTTCACCGAAGTCGTATCTTTACAGGGTTTCTGGTTTCCTTTTAAGGAAAAAAAAAAAAAAAAGTAAGTTCTTGCAATGTCTTGAAGGTTGCATAGGATGGCAGGGGACTCAGATCGAACTTTCCACGCAGGCCGCGGAGGGCTGCGTCCCGAGGTCCTGGGGGCTGTCCTCCTCGGGGACAGGCAGGGTCCGCTGCTGCTGGTGGATATCCTGAATCAGCATGGTGTTCAGGACCTTCCATTCTCTGTACTTCCTGGCTGTCAACTTGGGATCGTCTAGCAGCTGGTTGATCATGGCCAAGTCGTGTTCTTTGCACTGTGCAAGCAGAGACAAAGGGGAGAGGGAGAGTGAGTAATGTCAAGAAATTCTCTTCACCACCTTCACAAATACATACACTTTAAAAAAAAAATTATTATTTAGTGTGTGTACCGTCAAATCAGATCTGACTGGTACAGGAGGAGATTGCCCCTCCTCCAGCAGAGCATCTGGTGGATTCGAACCGTGCACTTCTGGGATTGCAGTGCAGCTTCTTGCCACTAGGCCACCAGAGCTCCCTTAATACATATACATTTCTTTTTAAATTATCAATATGGTTTGCTCATTAGTAATGGTACCCCTGTATCAAGCCCAAGAGACTGGGAGAAGAAAAAGCAAACGTTGGTGAATGGATTCTGACTCCTGGTCAATCTCTTTAGGGTGTAGTTGAATTGTGTGTCCTTCAAGGATTTCTCCAACAGCTTTAAAAAAAAAATTACTGCCAGCCTTCTAAGGCACCTCTGGGTGAACTTGAACCTTTCAAGTAGCAGTTGAGTGTGCAAACCATTTGCAACATCCAGAGACTCCAGCCTGTGTACGTGGACGACAGAAAGTGAACTGTTTTACCCAATTCAGTAGAACTAGAATTATTATAACCAAGGTCTTCAGTATTGCCCTAGCCCAACCTACTTGTTATTCCACACCACAGTAACGAGTGTCCTTCCTCCACGGTGATGATGATTACTCCCCCAATGCCACTAATCATACAATCATTTCCTTGGCTACCCAAATTTCACTAATTGAGGGAGTTCGGTTGGTGTACTTTGTACTAGGTCAACCTAAATTTCACGAAGTAAAATCAGAACAGAGCCATTTATACAACACCTAAGATTACATAAGACAAGGTAATCGTGGGCATAGTTCAATAGTGATTAACTTTACAAAACATAATGAATAGGAATGATTATATGAAACACAATGTAAATGAAGGATAGTGTGAAATACAATACTGATAAACTTTGTAAGCAAACCAACATAAAGTAAAAATTTTAAAAAGCTAAAAATAACCCCAAACCCACAATTGTTTTTAGTTTATACTGTTAATAAATCAGTAGATTAATACAAAAGGTGTCTTTTGTATTCAAAGAAACTAAGGATTCTCCCTCAAAACTATTCATAGTCCAATAATACAAATGAAGCATAACCTGTTTATATTACTCATCCTGTGTCCTCTGTAACCAATGGTATATATTAAGTATTTGATTAAAGAGTTTTCTGCAAAGAATGGAGTTAAATATTGAGATGTATCAGGTCCTACAGTCAAAGTCATCACTCAGCTATTGCGTCTCAAATCTATTCTCCATTTTAATGATTCTAGTCCTTGTTTCAGGGAGCTCTGCTGGCCTAGTGTCTAATTAGTTCAAAACCACCAGCTGCTCTTCTCAGGAGACATGTAGGCAAAATCCTCCTGTGCAATTTAGAGCCTTGGAGGGTTGGCTATGAGTCAGTTCCAACTTAACAACAATGAAGAGATGAAGAAAGGTCCTCATTTATACTACTTATTTCATACATGATCTACTGAACCTACATGAAGCCCTCGTCTCCAGCCCCCAGTGTAAGTCCACCTTTAACAGAGAAGCACAGGAGAGCCACCCCAAATGCCCAGTACTCTCCTCACACCTCCACGGAGCACCACGTGCCCTCATCTACCTGCCCAGTTAGCTCCGTCTCTTGATACTGTTCCTGCCTCTTATCGTGCCCTCTATTAGGCTGATATCAATACTGTACCCTTGGCAAAGCTGGCTCAGCCCTCCTGGCTGTCACATGGAGCCCCTTTCTCCCTTTTACCTGCTTAATGCTAATTCATTGCATTTCATTCAGCTGGAACAGTTCCCATCTTTAGTTATGTGATTTTACTCACTCTCATATCTGCACTTAATTCCCATCACTCGTCTGTGAGTCTGTCATACTCTGGCTTATACACTGTTGTTTTTTTCTGAAACTGTCTTTCAGACTATGACTGCAACACCTTTATTCCTCAGGTTTCAATTCTTGGCATAGTAAATATATGATTGCCTGATGCAAAGTGGCGCAAACCAGTCCATTTCAGTTCACTAAGTCCTACAATGTCTATCTTCATGCATTCCATTTCATTTTTTACAATCTCCAGTCTTCCTATATTCATACTCAGTACCTGCCACGTTACAATTATTAAAAGTTGTTTGGAGCTGTTTCTCCTCATTTTTCCGTGACTTCCCATCTAGGGCTCTACTTCTAAAACTATAGCTACCTGCATCCTTCTGTTGTTCATCCGGGATTTGAAGGCTTGTTAATTTGGAAGTCAATCTGCTGTCAAGGATGTCTCCAAAACACTGAAGAGAAATGTTGTCAGTCTGAAGATTAAAGTGTATCTGATTCAGGTCATGGTATTTTCAATCACTTGGTATGTATTTGAGAGCTGGACAATTAATAAGGATGATAAAAGAAGAACTGATGCCTGTGAGTTGTAGTGGTGAAGAAGAGTTCTGAATATCCCATGGACCGGCAAAGGAACAAATAGATAAGTGTTGGGGAAAGGTCAGCTATAGAGCTTCTTGGAGACAAAGATGGTGATGCTTTGTCTCTCATACTTTGGGCATGCTGTTAAGAGAGGCTATTCATTGGGAAGGTATAGCGTATTTGGAAAGGTAGAGTCAGCAAAAGAGATGAAAAAGCGTCAATGAGATTGACAGACACAATAACTCCAGCTATAAACTCAGGTGATGTGTCATGATGAAGATGGGATTCAGGGCTGTTCTTCATAGGGTTGCTATGAATTGTATTCAACTCAAAGGCACCTAACAACAACTCATCCTTGTCAAGTTGGAACTGACCCATAACTGACCCTCCAACGTGCTTTCAGAGGCTGTAGTCACACTGGAGGAGACTGCTCATCTTTCTCCCTCAGGACAGCTGGTGGTTTCAACCAGTGCATCTTTAAACTGGAAGTGCAATGCCCTACCCATCAGGCCATCAGAGTTCCCATGCAAAAATCAGCCAATGAAAGACTATTTATGTATCAGAATGTGACTGGTCTCAAATATACCAAAAATAACAACGATAGTGCAGGACATTTGATTTTGTTAGCTACAACATCACTACGAGCTGCGCTGATCCCAGGGCATGTAGCAACCTTCTCCAGACAGCCTCCAAGCCCCCGATTGGGCTGAGAAACCTGCTGTCTGCTTCCAGACCTTCCAAATACCACAGCCCTCTTAGCATCAATCATATTATACTGTGTTAGAGGCTTTCAGATATGTCATTTCCACCTACTCTAAAAGCCGTTAGGGACGGTTAAGACAAACAAGCAAGCAAACCCCAACCCTGTTGTCATCAAGTTGATTTCCACTCCTCACACCCCTGCATGCTTCAGGTGCTTCAGGGTAGAACTACGCTCCATGGGGGCAGTTTCCAAGGGCTGTCTCCTCGTGGAAAGAGGTCATCTGATTGTCTTCCATAGCATGAGTGGGTGGATTTGAACCACCAACCTTTTGTTTAGTAGCCAAGTGTAGACTGTTTGCATGACCCAATAACAAGACTACAGCAGATCTGTTTCCTTTGGTTTTTTTTCCACTCCTGTGTTTCCTGCACTTACCACAATGCCTGGTGTCAAGATGTGCTTTGTTTAAACAGTTTCTCTCTCTCTCTCTCCAAAACGTTTGTAGAGCTCCATTTGCCTGCAGGAAATTCACAACCACCTCCACGGCTCTCAATTTAAATTCTTGAACGTTGGTGTTGTGAGAACACTGCTACCCAAGAGTCTGTCCTAGTCATGTCTTTTTCTCTCCCACTCTCCAAAATGGCAACTTCAAGACTTTTCATTTCTTCTCCAACCTTCGCTCTCCCTTCTCACTTGTGACTGATGAGCTTGCTCTCAAATTTTTTATTAGAACGCAGAAGGAAACAGAGAAAAGTGTTTCCCCGAGTTCCTACTGCCATCTGTTTACTTGGCACAACTCGGAAGTGCTCGTCTTACCCTCAGGTGGGCCTGACAGCAACACCCCCACTCTCAAAGTCCCATTGCCTCCCTTGTACACACTCACCCCTCTCTCTCTTACGGGAGGAAGTCACACCAGCCATCTACCCCTTTTCTTCGGACTCATTGATCACCCATCTCCCCGGGATCCTTCTCACATTTCCCTTAATACGTCTTCAAGCCTCCTCTGGGACTCCCTTCCCTGTTCCTGCTAATTCTCCACTTTTCTCCTTAATAAGTTTTCAAATGTATCTACTCACTGTCTTACTCAATATTCTTGTGCCCACTGTCCACAGATCTCTCCCATTGGGCTTTTATCTCCATCTTTCTACCAAAAAATGCTCTTGTGATGGTTATCAATGATTACCATACAACCAACCAACCACTGCCAGGGAGTTGATCACAGCCCATAGCAGCCCTTTTGACAGACGAGCACTGCCCCAGAGGGCTCCCAAGGCTGTGAAGTCTTTACAGAAACTGACACATATTTCTCTTTTTTTTTCTTCATATCTTTCTCTTGTGGAATGGCTGGTGGATTTGAATCTCTGACCTTACAGATAGCAGTCAAATGCTTAACCACTGTGCCATTAGGGATCCATCAATGACTTAACCACCAAAATCAAAGTCAGTTCCGTTTTGCTCACCGTAACTCCATCTGGTTCCCAACTCATTGTTCTCCCTCAGAGCTGGGGGACTCAAAATGCACATTTTTCAGTTAGGAGCCCAATACTCAGTCACCATGCCACTGGGGCTTCTTGACCCGTATGTTAATAAACCCAAAAATCAACTACTCATCTTCACCGAATCTCTGGACTCTGCATTGGTCTTGAAACACCTGCATTCTGTGGTGTCTGTGAGGCAGTCTCCCGATTTTTCTATTTCAACATGATCGTTTATCCGCAGTCTCCTTGACTGATTCCTCTCATTCCCTAGAACTTAACAGGGAAACATCCTAGAATCTGTCCTTCTTTGTTCTAATACATTCTTGCTCTCGATAGTGTTGCCTACGCCCCACCACTCTCTGTACAAGTTGACTGTCGATGCT